ACCAGTTCCCATGTAACTGAAGCAATTGTTGACGACTAGGCCAGACTATACTTGGTGAATATATTTCCCCAAAAATGGTTTGAGGGCTTTTACATGTATGTGGGTACTTATAGGGTCTTTGCATCGGCACTAAACACATTTATTTAAAAACCAGTTGTTGGCATGACACGGGTTATGTTTTTCTCATATATGTTATGATGGTATGATACTAAACCCCTAACGGGAAGGATTGTGCCTGATATTCATATGATGAAGACATAATCTTTCAATCAGTTTAATTGAAGTCTGGAGCTGGCATGTCAGTTAACTGCTAGTAGTCTGTTGTTATTTATGTATTATTGTCATTTTGTTTATTTTCTTTGGTTACATCTTCTGACATCAGACTCGGACTTCTCTTGAACTGAATTTGAATGTGCGTATTGTTATGCGTTTATTTTCTACATTGGCTAGAGGTATAGGGGAGGGTTGAGATCTCATAAACATGTTTAACCCCGCCGCATTTTTGCGCTTGTCCCAAGTCAGGAGCCTCTAGCCTTTGTCAGTCTTGTATTATTTTTTTTATTTTAGTTTCTTGTGTACAATTTGGAGTTTAGTATGGCGTTCATTGTCACTGAACTAGTATATATATTTGTTTAGGGGCCAGCTGAAGGACGCCTCTGGGTGCGGGAATTTCTCGCTGCATTGAAGACCTGTTGGTGACCTTCTGCTGTTGTCTGTTCTATGGTCGGGTTGTTGTCTCTTTGACACATTCCCCATTTCCATTCTCAATTCTACATATAGTATGAGACAAGCTATGAAGATTGCAACACGGATAATTACGAAGCCATAACAGAACTACATGTGACAGTAAACCATTGATAGGTGAAACTTTGTGATGTCTTCCAGTAGGACTCTCGTGTATTCTTGGGTCATCTGTTCTCAGCATTCCCATTATCGTTTCAGGTGTTTCCCCACAAGAACGATAAAATGCGTAACGATGATTTGAAAATAGGTCAGATACATCTCTACCATGTCATATCTTATTTCTTTATTCAGAAACACGATGATCAATCTCTAAAGTTGGATCTGGAGGAGGACAATTTAGCAGCAGAACTAAGGTGTCAATATTCTGAAAAATTATTGATGGAACTAGCAGTGGAGTTACCAAAGAGGGAATTCAAACTGATGAAGTTGCAATATCCATTATGACCTGAAACAATTATAGTAAATTCAAGTTAAAGTGAAGAAACACAGCTACATTTAATCGGAACTATAAGAATTATGCCAGGTTATATTTTACAATCTTTATTGGGAACCATGTTTTTTTTTAAAGTTTTTAACTTTGAGAGGTGTTATGACTTCATAGATGTCTTGTGTCAGCAATTAATATACAATATAGAACATGACTCACTTATCTTTACGTCGAAATATCTTTTTTAATGTATAAATAATAAAAAAAAAAGTTTTATGGTTTGCTGTCTCAATATTAAGCGAACGTTTAACTGTTGGGTCTTCTATCTACTTTAAAGCCTTGTCAGGTTCAATTAAAATCAGTTGGAAATGGCTTGACTCATTATAATGGCAGGAAGCACAAACAAAACTAACATAAAAACAAAAGACACAACGTACGTACCAATAGTAGAGTACTTGCAGTAACTGAAAGCTAGCTCAAAGTCAATAACAACGGGTTCCGTATGTCATAAATGGACCTTGAATTATTTATTAGTTGTTAATGACTTTGAGCTAGCTTTAAATAAATGCGAGTTTTATTATCTAATAAAAAAGTATGTCATAGTTAATCCGTTCAGGATTAGCAATCCGAGATAACCTCGGGGGGGCCACTTCCTATATACAAGGTGATAGGACGTGCCGCTGGAATAGGTCACCTTTTCAAGCTTGAACATATGTGAATAGATCGGGAAAACTATCAGAAATATATGATATATAAAGGTCAATACAGTTCCCATAACATCTTCGTCTGTCATCTTCTTGGTGTTCCCGGCTGTGTTTTTATCAACCAATTTTCTCTCTTTTGACACTTTGATATTCCACTATTACATTACACACCACATGAAACCCAAACAATATGGGAAAAAGATATATTTTTACCTATGCAATATATGAGAAGGTATACATTTTTAAAATCTAAATTATATGAAAAGGGTGGGGTAACAGAACCCTAGCGGCACCTATCAATTAAGTATTGAAGTGGACCCCTCACCCCCTGAGACGGACTACTAATCCGAGATCACGTATTATCAATCCAAAATCACAGATTTTTTTTTTATGTGTCCCTTTATGGCTTCCGTAGTTATACGCCTACAACCATTTGTTCACAAAACGTTAAAACTAGATAAATAATCATAAGATTGATATTAATTGATCTGAAAATGTATTTATTAAAAAAATGTTTGGTTCGTAAAATTATATTTGATCTTCTCCTGCGTACTTTAATAGATATAATTGTTTAAGATTAATCTCAGCGGTATCAAACACGCCCATACAGGCAACAAAAATGATGGAGTATTTGTACTTTTTGAGATTGTCCCCACATCATATTGTATTCAACTTCCATCCAACACAAGCGCCAGCAGTAGTTTCGGCTTTTCTAACACGTCCAATAATACATGAACTCGAAGTTCTAGAATTTTATTATATATATACAAACTGAAGTTAAACAAATTATCAACTCATATCTTAATTCCTTTCATATATAATTTCGAGTTCATAATAATGGGAAAAAAATCGTAAATAATAAGAAAGGTTATAATTATCATCTTCATACTTATTATTTTTATAGTTTATTTTTATCATTTTGTAATCATTGTTTAAAATAAAAGAAAATATGTTCACTTATGACAGTCATACAAGCATCATAGGTATGACTATCTTAGGACAGCTTTTATTTACATTCTATGATATAGTCATAAGATGGTCATTACATTTGTCCTAAGATATATCTTATGACATATCTTAGGATACTTTCGAAAACCAGGCCCCGGATATTTAAATCTAAAAATAACTATTCGATTCGATTGTTGTAATTTGTAAAGTCAAATCGATGAAACTATTAAGAATAATGGGCAATAAGCTAGTACAGTACATATATTGATGTAATTTGTAATGTATGAAAGTTAAACATGTACTACCAAACAAGGAAGAAATATACACAGCTTGTATTATGCACATCTCAAAAATTTTTCTAACTATATAAAAACAATGATTCGTGGAATTGTTGATGTTGATATATTGGAATATTAGTATCCATTTCGGAATTTTCTCTCTCAAAACTGAAAAGTGTATTTTATGAATCGAAAATACAACTTGCATTTGTATATAACATAATAGGTATTATGAAATAAATATACATTTGTACACAAAAGAAAGGGGGTGGAGTTGAATTTAAATACATATTGTATGCCTTCCAAGTAAATCCGCGCGACCTTCCAGATCGGGAATATGAGAAAATAACCCGAAAACATCTTTCGAAGACTCTAATTATTGGGGCCATGACCATGATTAAGATGAAACAAAAAAAAATTACTTAAACCATTGGATTTTCTAATGACTTAACAGTAATTGAACATGTCACTTATCATAATTAGCTTTAAAAAAAATAGCGATTAAATAACATGCAAATACATGCATATGAAAAGGCTTAGTTTCATATGAAAACACGGTAAGGTTTGCAAATTTATAACCGTCTATTAATTGATTGATTGATTGATTGATTGGTGTTTGCTTTACGCCACCTTAGCGCACATAGGCTATATCGCGGCGAGAGCTAATTCAAATATTTTTACAATTTAAACTAGTCTTTTAAAATCAGACAAACGGTCCTTCAATATACAAGCAAAATTACTTGTAGTCGTCTATATATCCAATCATATTTTTTTCTTCGAAATGACCAGAATCAGACTGAGTAATTACGATAATTGCTCCCAATTTGAAATTTTAAAATACTATTTTCCAAATGTCTTACATGGAATCTGCTGACGAGTCCGTCTTACGAGTTTTAGAATTCATTCACGTGAACTATATAAAATAATGATTAACTCTGATTTAAAGCAAAAAAAAAAAAAAAACACGCACAAACAAAATCCAAAAAAAGACACAAAAAGACAAACAAATTGTTCAAGTTTGAAAGAATCGAGGAAACTTTTTAAGTATTACCATGTTTTATATAAAGTTAATTAGCATATATTACTATAAGTAAAACAATAAACTCATGGGAATATGAAAATAGAAAAAAAATAATTGGAACTTGGGACACCACACAAAAGTATATTAAGTAATACCAAATGTAAACAACACGGTGCCTATTGTATGGCCTTCAATGATACGCATGTTTAAATCTGTCACAATCATGTTGAAAACTTATATTTTCTTAGAGTTGTGGCAAGTTATGTATTTCTCCCATGAAGAGATAATACGAAAAAATGCGTTATTAATAATTTGATTGGCTTATCTAGGAACGCAAGACGATATTGCGACAATTCATTGGCTATTCTTTATGTCATTGGTGATATTCAAAAGGTAAAGACGATTATATTTCTCGTTATTTAATTTTAATAGTAATAATAACTCACACAAGGCTCGTTCTTTATAAATTGAAAACAAATAACTCGAGTTGATAGTATCAAGCGATATCCCATTCTTATTCGTTACGATTATGAAACCCAAAAAATTTGCCTGATGCATAATTTAGTCTTATTGGCTTAACATCCAGTGGCAAATATTTCACTCATATTAAGGATGACAACAAATGAAAAACTTACTTCAAAAGACGGTAGTTTTTTTTTTTTTTTAATAACAACATGTCAACATAAAAATGATACAAAACGAATATAACTACAAATATAAAGACACAAAATGAATGCAATTATTGAGGTATACAGTTACACAAGAGATTGAGTGACAAAGTTTTCATCAATTAAAAAAGGTTCATGAATATTCTGCTGTATATATGAGGTTTTACCTTTAAGTAGTATAAAAGTTATAAAACTGAACGAAATAATGAGTCAGCTCGAGTGGACGTTGTATAGTTTCATATGATATATGAAAAAATCAATGATATGCATCAAATCTGGCTTTACATAGTGGAATGATATTACATATTGGCTCATACTGTCTGGGCCCTGTAATGAGAAAGATGACTAATATTGTAAATTTAAACAAATGAAATCGAATCTAAAGAGTCGTTACACATTTGTCGTCTAAGCTTATGTAAAATCAAATTAAAACCTGTTGTCTAGTCTAATATATGTGTATTTGTTTTTTCTTGGCCACTGGACCGTTTTTATTCATGTTACCGTTTTTCATGTCGCTCATTGATGATGGCCTTATATTATGCTCAACACGAGGTAATGGAGTTGTAACTTTGCTGTCTACATGTATGGTATTTCAAATATAAGATTGGATAGTCAAACTGATGTTTAGTAACCTAAGGATAAAAATATGGTCATTTTGGTCTTCTTCCGACCGGCAGTAAAACCCTTTCCATAGTGGGGCGTCCCTTTTGGCTGTGCGGGATGTACGCAGCCACGACCAGTCAAAATGGAGACGTTAAAATCCGATGCCTCGTGTAACGAGGGTGTCACGCTCTTTGCACATTAGGAACCCTTGCAACAGCTATTTGACGGATCCATAGGTAGCCTGTTGCAAGTGGCAGTCCAAATTGCCCCGACCTTCGTCCCAGAAGGACTCTATTATAGGAATTACAATGTACCTATTGTTTTAATGTTAATGTGTTACCGTCCTCAACATGCATGAAATATTTGCCTCTGAACATTAAGCAACCAAAAATCGACCAATTAATCAAAGTTATGATAACGTGATAAATGACAAATTGGTCCCTACATATATATAGTAATTCGAATAGTCTTGGTACTCAATTTACCGAGACTACTGTTTCACAAATATCCGTGATACATTTAACTGATCAAATGACATTATGTGCTAATACAACGGTTGATATTAGAACAGATCAAATGACATCATGTGCTAATACAACGGTTGATATTAGAACAGATCAAATGACATTATGTGCTAATACAACGGTTGATGTTAGAACAGATCAAATGACATCATGTGCTAATACAACGGTTGATATTAGAACAGATCAAATGACATTATGTGCTAATACAACGGTTGATGTTAGAACAGATCAAATGACATCATGTGCTAATACAACGGTTGATATTAGAACAGATCAAATGACATTATGTGCTTATACAACGGTTGATATTAAAAACAGATCAAATGACAGTATGTGCTAATACAACGGTTGATATTAGAACAGATCAAATGACATTATGTGCTAATACAACGGTTTATGTTAGAACAGATCAAATGACATTATGTGCTAATACAACGGTTGATATTAGGGTGTAACATTCATCAGAAGATTCAACATTTTGAGTACGCTCTTAATTTTGGAGCACAGGCACTTGTTTTATTAATTTTTTTACTCTTACATATGCCTTTAGAAAGTAAAATTGATAATGGTAATGGGGAATGCATCAAAGAGACAGCAACCCGACCAAAGCACAGAAAAAGCACAAGGTCACCAATGGGTCTTCAACACAGCGAGAAAATCCTGCACCCGGAGGCAGGCTTCAGCTGGCCCCTTAACGAAAATGTGTAATAGTTTAGTGAAAATGGACGTCACACTAAACTCCAAAACACATAAATGAACTAAAATTAAAAAGCATACAAGACTAACAGACGACAGAGGCTCCAGACTTGGGACAGGCGTACAATGCGGCGGGGTTAAACATGTTTTGTGAGATCTCAACCCTCCCCTATACCTCTAGCCAATGTAGAATAAACAAACACACAGCAATACGCATACATATAAAAAGGTATATATGATATTTAACTGGTTAACTAGTAAATATAAATATACGAAGATGTGGTATGACTACAAAGAGACAACTCTCAACCAGAGACCAAATGACATAGAAGTTTACAATATAGATCATCGTACGGCCTTCAACAATGAGCAAAACACATACCCATATTTTTTTGTTTGTCAACTGTTGAATTGATAATGTATTCCCAGTTGATTTCCTTCTGAATTACTAATCACGGTACTGATCTAGCTCAAAAGGAGAAATGCTTAGAGACCAATAAAATTAAATATCTAGCTTGTTGGACCAAGCCGTGTGTTAATGTGCCTGTCATATTAGAAGTCATAATCTGTTAGTAATTTTGATTTGTACCTATTGTTTGTTTCATTGACAATCATACCACATATTCTTAACTTTATATAGAATAGAATCCATGTCAAAAATCATTTAGTATTGCTGATCATGTTTTCTGTTTACAGATTACCTATTTTTTTTTCTTAATTTTTATGCTTGAAACATAAAACAAAAATTCCGCCCTTCACATTCCAGTCAAGGCCTTTGTGTTACTTGGTTGGTTTGCTCTGATATTATTATCTTAAGTTATTGTCGCTCTAATGTGAATCCTAAATCTGCCTTCTGTTTTAATTTAACAATATATGAGTTACCTTGCTAGGCGTCTTTGTGTTGTATTTATAATACCACGCAGGGTATGTCCCAGAAAGGTATTTGTCTATAGTCAAATGATGAAACCTCGTCCGATATTGCTTATCTAATGTATTTCCAATTTTTACTCCGAATTTAAGTAAGCATTTAGAAACGTTAACATCTTCAGATTCCCCATCTTGCTTACATTCTTTACTGTTGTTTCCTCTTGTTCCGAGTCTCATTAATGCCTCTTTACTCAACACATAGCCTGGTCCTCCTGTGTTGAACGGTTGTTTTATATTAGGTTGAACAAAGTATTGTCCAAAGAAAATAGGTTCACTTGTATGATAATCTTTCAATAAGTATTTCAGATTCTCTACAATAACATAAGTGTCATCGTCTGCCTTTAAGAACCAATCGGCTTTATCTCTGTAATGTTCATACACATACCGCCATGCTTGCATGGATTTAGCAGTCAAATGATTACGCCCTTCTTGTGAACCAACACCTATCGCTGGGAAATCCTTATCCTGCTTAGAGCTTATAAATAGCAAAATATCACAGCGTTTTCCCCAAGTATTTTTAACGTGGATAGCAAATACGTGTAAATTATTTGGACAAGTCATTATCCAGCACAAAATGCGTATATCTACGCTCTGAAGTCCTTCAGTTTCTACAAGATGTATTCACATATAACTGTAAGATTTTACCAACTTTGAAGGAAAATAAACTTATGAAATATGATAACATTAACCAAGATATAGTACAGACATTCAAAATTAAGAGTAGGATTTAAGCGAGAAATCATTCAAAAAGGGGACCTTTATTCTTACTTTTATCAAGTCAAGATACACTTATACTTATACGTATATCACAGACGACACAAAGATGAACAACTTGATATCCTATCAGTTAATAATTTACTTTTCATTAGGAACTATATTTTTTTTTTCTTTGTTTCATTTTTGTTTTTTTTTTCTTTTATGTGTTTTTTTTTTTTAATATTATTTTTTTTATAAACATATGTACACTTTATTGTAACACAGTCAACCCTGTTCCTCAGTGTTTCATAAAACGACACGATTCGGAGATTAGTGTGACGTCCATTTTAACTGAACTAGTACACATTTTTGTTTAGGGGCCAGCTGAAGCCCGCCTCCGGGTGCGGGATTTTTTCGCTGTTTTGAAGACCCATTGGTGGCCTTGGGCTTTTTCTGCTCTTTTGTCGGGTTGATGTCTCTTTGACACATTGCCCATTTTCATTACCAATTTTCTTATTTTAATTTGAAAGACTGAAATTATTTTAGTATTTTTTTTCAAGTTAAGGGATCAAATAATAACTCGTTTCATACATGTACCTCTGGTTTTTCAGACATTCGCAGATATTTATTTTGCAAAACTGCAAGTAATACTGTAACATAAAATTAAAATTGAGAATGGAAATGGGGAATGTGTCAGAGAGACAACTACCCGACCAAAGAACAGAAATCAGCCGGAGCCACCAATGGGTCTTCAACACAGCGAGAAAATCCTTCACCCGGAGGCGGGCTTCAGCTGGCACCTAAACAAAATGTGTACTTATTCATTGAAAATGGACGTCACACTAAACTCCAAAACATATAAATGAACTAAAATTAAAAAAAACATACAAGACTAACAAAGGCCAGAAACTCCTGACTTGGGACAGGCGCAAAAATGCAGCGGGTAACTTTAGTTTCTGATTCAGCACAAAAGTATCAAGATTGTTGTAGATTTAATAATTTCAAATTTGTAATAATTACTTTATAAACTATATGAACAAATTTGTATTGGCACTACATGGATAAACCATTTATTCCGAATTTTAGACAAAAAGTAAAAGCAAGATCAGCGAAATTCTTAAAACTAATCTTATGACGGTAACTTGGCATTTACTCGTTTTTATTTTTATTTTTATGTTTTATGTCCTTTAGACAAAAAATATATGGTGTACTTACTTCCAGGTTTTAAAGTTGTACTTGTGAAATCCACTAAATTTCTATGTGTTGTTATGTTGTGGGTCTCATTTCTTTCCGTGAATATCCAGCTATTGTTTGTTTCGAAATCTTTGCTTTTTCTGACAAGTACTCCTCCACCAAGCCTTCTTGATGTAGTATATGTATACATCATCGTGTAAGATATCGCACATAAAACGATACACACAAGAGAAATATAACCTATAACTTTCAGGTTAAGTACATGCATAATGGTGTTGTTAGTTAAATAATGACAATTCTGGTTCCAGTATTTATTTTGAAATTGCATGACGTCTTCTAAGAAATTGAGAGTAATAGGTCCTACAGTAAATTGTAAGTTCGTGTGTAAATTATATCATCACCTTTTTTTATTAGAGAGTATTCTGACCAGATGTTACTTAATCTTTTTAAACTAATGTTCGATTTTTGGTATTTATTATCTATCGTAAAAAGCAATGATCTCTTTCAACTGAAGTGTTCAAGTAAATATTATAAATTCTCGGTTTATATAAGAAAAAAAAACATTTCAAATTATTAACTTTACTTTAGCAAAAAAGAACTTATGTGACAAGTAAACAATTATTGCATCTCTATATTTTTTTGTTTAAAAACTAGTTAACAACAACTGTCACGACATAGCACGATAGCACAATAGTGCTGAAACTTGCGTTAAACACCAATCAATTAATCTATATATTATAACACACCCCATCCATATGCATGTGTACTTGTCCTCGCGTATCAAAATTAGAATACGTTATTACGTTTACAGCTGTTTTAATTCTATAGGGCGGATCCTTTGGTGGTGACGAATGTTTTCACCTTAATGACCCTAATTAGTTTGTTTTAGTACATTTTTATGATTTGTTATTGCTATCAGGTTGTGCACTTATTTATGTCGTTTTGCCTCTTTATGCCACCTTTTCTTACCTAATCCTCCACTGCATTCTATGAAGGAGTTTCTTATATATATTTACAGGACATAAGTTACTTATAATAAATTGATAAAAAAAAAGAAGTATCAATTATACGACGCACAAAAAAGACATGCGTTCTTTTTTTTTCTAGAAATCGTTCTCCATTTTTTTCTTTTTTATTATTATTAGAATAAATTACAAGGTATAATGGAACCATCTGTTACTTCAATACTAACACTAATACCAACTATAACAAAATGAACAAATTGAAAATTAACTTAAATATTCACTTCTGAATCAATATATTGAAATATATTCTTATCATTTATATATTGTTTTCCACTTGGATGAACAGCATTTGTTATGATCATGCAGCTAATTTGATTATCTCCATTTGACTTCTCACTTGTCGTTTACAAAAAACTTCTTAATTCAATGTTCATTTGTTTATAAAGTAATACAATTTGATATAATCCATTGAAACTTAATAAGTTTATAAACTAAAATGATTTGTTAAGGTAGGATTATCAATATGGCATTGATCTTTCAATTTTGTTTTACTTATGAATGGGGGTCTTTAAAGGGATGTCTTCATTTCTGTATCCTTTAAATATTGAGGTCATTTATTTTATGGCTATTCTTTATGGTTTTATCCATACTTATTCTATATTCCATATGATTTAGCACCCCCAATAATCTCTTTTCATTATTTGTTTCCGATTTTCTCCCTATTCCTTATTTGTTTGCCCTTTTTTCTCTATTCTATAACCGAGCATTTTAACGACAACACCCATTTTTTATTTCTTCAATTTAAACTCTTTTTGTTGTGTGTGCTTGTGATATCGCTTTGTATTTAAAGTAGTAAATAGCATTTTATGCAACAGAAAATAGATGTAAGTAAATATTTCCAATCACCAATGTACTTCAGTTGAAGTGGTCCAGTTTTTACCTTTTAGATTTACAGATGGAACAAAATCCTGTAGGATTTGTGGTTATTGAGAGAAACAAAAACAAAACATAGATGAAGTGTTTCGTCTGTTTCCTATACACAACATAAAATTAATAGAGGAGTGAATAATTTGATGTCTTTTTTTATTTAATTATATGACATATGTTACCAGTGAAATTATAAGTAAGAGCATCAATAATAGTCAATTTCGTCGACATACACATTTATAAAATTGATCGTTCCTTGTTAAGCGCATCTTTTGTCACGAAAGTTAACGGACAAGGAATTTTGGTGTTCGCCGGTGCAGACACGTGTGGTTTAATTTCGTTTTCTTCATGCGCTGATGTGTTTGCAATTTTTAGGGCAATAAATTTGCACGTGTTTATAATTTATATATGTTATTATATCATAACAAAAAGATCAGTACACTGAAATGAGTATGAAAATACAAGGCAAATCAAATCCGATTTGGGCTATTTCAAAATGTCTTTCAATATTTACCACCTTCATATAATAGATGCTTCTAGTGTAAACTATAAGATTTAATTAACATGACGGCTAATTTTCAATCATATGGCCCAATTTTAAATGCCCTAAAGATAACTGAAACCTCTGAGTTTAATATATCATGTATATATTGACATATTTACAGTATGCAACATTGATACGCACATGCTTAGGCAAACCTAAAATTCTGACGGAAGAAATTTTATCTACATTCTGATTGTATGGATTTGTGAATAAGTAGTAAAAAAAAACAACGTTTTGAGCATATTATAAAGAACGTCTAAACAAGTGACAACTCTACGACAGATCCATCGATTGGATCACCAGTGAAGGTGATACACGACAGAAAATACATATTATATTCATAATTACTCTAAATATCAACACAACAATATTAAATCTGCAAATTTGCGGAAGCAAATTAATGTTCTTCCCTCGCCGGGATTCGAACTAATGCTATTGGGATATCGAGACAACACCGTCTGCACTGTGTCCAGCGCTCTAGACCACTCGGTCACCTAGACCGAACTAAGAATTCAGCTTTCGGTGGCCTAGTGTGACCTTTCCTCGTCAGAAGAATCTTGATTGCAGATTAGCTAAATTATATGTCGTAAAAGATCGTAAGATGCAGTCACAGAAATAAGATACTCATTTCGGGGCTTTTTATATATACTTATTATGTGGTATGGGGTTTGCTCATTGGTGAAGGCCGTATGGTGACATATAGTTGTTAACTTCTATGTCAGTTAGTCTCTGGTAGAGAGTTGTCATATTGGCAATCATACAATACCACATCTTCTTATTTTTATAATTAACATATAATGCATTAGATTTTGAGCATTGATAACCACTGTTGTCTATCTTTAAAGTTTTTCAAATTTTTGACCATGTTTTGGAACCCAATTCAAAGGACATTGCGCGTATTCAATCTCCTCTTGTAGACTGTTAGTCAAAAAGGCATCATCAGCTCAGTAGTCAGAGCTTCAGTAAATGATTTATATACACTCTTCTTAGAATCCCCGTTGATACAATTTAGAAGTTATTTAGAAGCTAAGGTTCTAACTCACACAAGTTAATTTGGTTGGCCTTCATAAAAA